CTTTACCTTCTGAGAAAAAGAATCTTTAGCACAAGCAGCAGACCCCAGGTAACAACCTGACAGCCTTATAATCTTTGCTTTCTCCAGGGGGAAAGGATTCTTATGCAGGAGACTTGCACAACATCAGCCACATTTCCAGTACAAACTCCTCACTGTGTTTAAGTGGGAGCATAATGAGAAACTGGATCTAGAAACTCTGGGTGAGATCCTGAGATCTGTCTCCCATTTCTATTCCACAAATATAACAAAGACTTTTACAGCCCTATTATTCTCCAAGTTTTACTAGGAACCCCTTCCCTCAACCTCACAACAACTCAAAGGACTTTACAAAGAACTAAGGGATTTACAGGAGGATAAATGCAACTTTATTTCAAGAAGATTAAGCAAACTGAACAAGAAATGGACAACATGTTGTACTCAGTAAAGCAAACAATTGTTTGAAAAACAAAGAAAGGTGATGAGCTTGAAAGCAGAGAATATAATTCTCACAGAATAAAACTGAAGGTTTTTCAGCCAATTTTGGTGGAGTTTTTTTAAATTATTTTCTTCACTGTCAGTTTTGCTCTGCCACCTTCAATAAACCCCATTAAATACTACTTGGACATATTCAAGATATCTGTTAGGCAGTATTGCATGCTAGAGAGAGAGTAACTTGCAAAACCCCTTTTAGTAATTTGCATCACTACAAGAAACAACTATTCACACCCAAATCCAGGGACTGAAACAGGTGACCACTTTCCTAGTAAAACAAGGCCAGCGCTCAGACCCCACTCTTCCAGCAAAAAAGTGGACACAAGAATTACTGTTTAAGGCGAGTAACCATACACTAACCACTTGGTAGTCTCAGTACAGAAAAAAACAGAAAAACAAAACAAAACCAGTCTGTGCCAGTCTAACCCAAAACACAGATTTTTTCAAGAGGGAGAGATATATGTTAGGGACAAATTCTGAATGCCCAATGTCTTGTTTTCTTAAAAAATTTCAGCTGTTAAGCACCAGCAAGGAGGTGTAACAGCCAAACTGCACGCAGCCAGAGATTATTTCAGTTTTCCATTCATTTTTATTATACTGTCAAAATACAGATAACGTTATCCACTCTACTACTGCACGCAGCACTTCAGGTTCAACTCAGTGTGGCTAACAGAAAGCTATAGTACTTGAAAAACAAAAAGGCTTAGTACTTCCAACAAGCAAACTAAAACTCACTATTTACTTACAAGGAGCCAAAGATGCTATTGTTCATTCCTGTTTATAAGTACTATTGGGCTTTGCTAACCTAGGTCAGCCAGGAATCTATTTACACAAGGCTCCTGTATCTACAGGTGAAGCAGACTTACCTTCAGAGAATCAACTAAGTCATCGACTAGGAAGAGACGTCTCAGCTCTTTGACTGTGCCATTAACGTGACCAAGCACAACATTACTGTATTTCTGAATAAGCTCTTCAGACACAGCTACATCAGACTCCAAGTAAGCCCTGCAAGAAAGGATAGTTCATGAAACTTCACTGCAATAGTGCTACCAAACAGTATCAACATGCTATATATACAGTATCAACACATTATATATACAGTATCAACATACAGTCTTTTTATGTTATCATAGAATCACAGAATGGTTTAGGTTGGGAGGGACCTTCAAGATCCTCTAGTTCCAAACCCCCTGCCATGGGCAGGGACAACGAAAAGAGGAATCCTGAAATGATAAAACAGAACTAACCTAAGTTATTCTTAGAGGGTAAAAGTGAACCTTAAAAAAACCTCCACAACTTCTTAGAAGAAAAAATATGTTTCTTTCTTACTGCTGTGTTGTGCTAGTGCATTTACTAAGCCACACACACAATCTTACCTGGATGAGGCAGAAAAGTTATGCTGGCTAGCATTGTATGCGTGAATAGGCAAGGCTAGCGAATGGCCAAAACCGTCCAGCACCACTGACACATATGCTGCTTGGTTTATGAAGTCTCTTCCTACTCCTCAGCATATACTGTAATCTAGTACACTAATAAGGCCAACGTGTATTTAAAAAAATGAGAGACAGACAGCCTGGGGGCTGTGGGGTGTGCGTCATTCTTTGGTTTTGCTGTTGTATTATTAGACAGCTTAATATTCTACGAGACTTGAGATTCCTTCATTTCTCAAATAGAAAAAATCCTACAAAAGCAACATATCCTTTCATACCCCTGGAAGGCACTTCCGAAGTTACCATTAAGCTGTAACAAACACACTAAGGCACAGTAAAATGAGCAGTTTTTTCAAAATTTGCTAAAAAAATTTCTTACCGTTAGTGACAACAGTTCTTTTAACAGAAAGATAGAAGGTCCTATACGGTTAAGTGTTCCTTCCACCACTCTGCAGCTTTTATCTGTAATTGCGGTGGCTATAGCAATTTAGACTCTTTAAATAGAGAATAATTTATTTATCTAATTTGCATGTTGGAGGGAGAAGGAGCAATGCAGCACATCTGTACGAGGGCACTCAACTTTGCAGTTACTAGAGTTAAACTTTTATTTTCGGGGGGGATTCTGCTTTGGGGTGGTTTTGTTTCATTTTTTTAAAAATGAAGAATGCACAGTGGAAGCTCCTATGTGTATCATATAAGGCAAAGCTAAACATGGCCTTGTGGCAAGTCCAAAACAAATTGAAATACTTCTAACAGTAACTACAGAGGGTGGCCATTTCAAGGCTACATTCTGCTATCCGCACTTGGCTTGAATCTGCACACCATTCTCAACTCTTCAGCAAGATATTCAGTACTTGAATCAAAAATTAAATTGAGCTCATGGACGCGCTCTTCACTGTCAAACTAAATTGAGGTAAAAATATCCTTCTTGAAGCTATACAGACAAAAAGCAAGCCACCAGGTATGCTGGACAAGAAAATCTGGAAGCTTCTTATGAATATCAGTATTTTTAGAAATAAACTGTAGAAAGCACAGGTAGAACAAGTTTTGCTTGTTCTTGCTAAGACCTTAACTGGTAAACTTGGAAATGCTGTTTGGATACTGAAGAGCACTATTGGGTAGACAGAGTCAACAGGATTTCAGCTGGGAATTATTCACCCTAATAAGGGTGAATAAGAAGCACCATATGAGGCCTTGTGGTTAAAAAAAAAACAAAACCACCCAAAACCTAAGTTTATAAAATATATAGATTTCATACTGCTACACTTTATGTTGGTGCTTATTGTTCAGATGTATTTTTTTTATATCAGACCTAAGCTTGAAAGCAAATACTCCCTTTTTGCCAGAGTTTTGTCCCACAGCTGTTTTCGGCACAGACTGGCTTCCAGTGGGTAAATGAGCTACTACACACAGTCAGGGAGGAACAGAGGTAAAAACCCAAGAAAACCTTTTACTTTGCCTTACTGAAGATGAGAGGAAGAGAACACAAATAATTGGAAACACTAACAATTTACTAAGAGAGCTGTAAATTGGAGGGCAAGCAGGAGTTTCTGAAAGGTGCGAGGGAAATTGAGATTTAACCACTCCATTGATTAAAAAAGGAGAGAAGCAAGTCTGAGCAGTGTGGGACAGGGCTGGTATGGAAACAGGAAAGATGCACTCTTAGTAATTACTCCAGCATATTAATAAGGTTTTATTTCTCTTAAGATGCAGCTCTGCAATAATGGGCACCACTGTACTCCACACAGGAAAGGATGCATACCATGGTTACCATATTGCCACACTGCAGCGAAGTGCACACATGGTACGCCCCACAGACTTAGCTCATCACTTAAAGCTCATCACTTAAAGCAAAGGTCCTGTTTGTGGACCTAAATTAATCCTATGATTCAACTCCTTAAGCCTTCAAATTCAGAGTCCAAGTTTCTGGATTTCTGACCTGAGCAGGCTGCAATGAACATGGATTCTGCTGATGACAAGGCAGCCATGCATGTGAAGAACACAGCTATGCTGCTATACACTAAAACACAAATTTTAAGAGTATTCTTTAAAAAAAAAGACAAAAGTATCCCCTGCTATATTTATTCTGTTTTTTGCTAAATATATTGCACTGAAAGTACTGCATCTCCTGGCTATTGCTTAAATTTTGTACATCATCTGTCACTGGTTCACATTCTGAAGACTGTATCATTTAAAATGCACATATTACTCCATTAGATTGCAGTATTTAAATTTTTAAATGTAACTTAAGATACTCTAGCATTCCCAGGGAAATGCACTGGACTAAGTGCTCAGTTAATTTTCTTCACCACAGTGTATGCCTACTGAAAAAAACTGAAGAGTAGTCACAGGCTGGGTAGCAGATTTTTCAGTACAGAGACTAAGTACATTATTATGCAACACATTACATACGTCATTTACCACTTCTAACAGCACCAATGCTGCTGTTCCCCAAAACAACACGTGTTTTCTGAACTAAAAGAAAAATCTCACCTAAACGGGTGGCCTTCATCGGACTTTTGGATTGCCTGGATAACTCCCTTGTATATCCTAAAGCTGATCGTCACAGAAAGCAGGGCCAAGGCAATGTAAGCTGTCACGCTCACGATGCTGAACACTGTTAATGAAAGCAGCAGGAACAAGCTGGCACCAAACACCACTCCCGTCTTCTTAATGTCTCGCCAGTAAAGGAGGTCAACAACTAAAATTTAAAGAAGGTAAGAAATTAGAACAAGATACCTTTTGCATCCATATGAAAACAGTAAAACACAATTCACTTGACTGCTGAGAGTCATCAAGAATGGAACTTGCGATCTCATTGTCAAACCAGAGCTGAAATTACAACTAGAAATAGGTTATTTTAGCAGATTCTGCATTGGACTTCAGATTATTTGGATTATTGTTATTAGGATTACCTCAAATGTAATTGCTAAAATTTAAGAACAATTCTGCCTTCAAGCAATGCCAGAATTAATCTCTTCAACGACTGTTGTTCTGCACCACAACCACAGCAGTTTGTGCTTCATTTAATTTTATTTTTGTGCATTTTGTGGAGGTCACTCACTGAAGAGATTCATTCTAATTCCTGGTTAGGACAAATGACAACACACTAACAGATCTCTAAACCACCCTATCTTTACAAGTCTGACAGAGGCAAAGGCACTGCTCAAGACTCATTAACAGTTCATTTTGTTTCCTTTTGATTGAAGACAATCCCGTGGGAGTTTATAATGTTGATTATGGGTGACTGAGCCATGAACAGGGAATAGTCTCACTGACATTTCAATCCAGGTTAAATCTGCTGTGCTCCAATGCAAAAAACTTCATTTGTAAACCAAGTTTATTTTTTCCTGAAGTGACCCTCATGAAGAACACAATATTATGCCATTTTTAGTATTACTGTTTAAACTGCACCCTTGCACAAGTCCTAGGTAATGGCTTAGTACATCCATTGCAGAGGTGCTGTTGTATCTGGTTGATTACTTCACTGAACTCATGAAATCTGGCAAACGTCTTTCTCCATTGCTGAGTACAGAACTAGGCAGGGACACCTAGTCTAGTTTTGTACTTCATGGTGAGGCACACAATAAAACTCACTCTTGTTGCTTCTTTACTTCCACAGCTGATTAGATTTTCACAAGAACAAATTCCTCTTCTGCATCAACACTGCTTGTTAATAGCAATAACGTATTAGATACAGAACTCAAGATAAATTATAGAAAAATTAATACTATTACACCACAAGCTTAGTAATCCTATTTTGTCCTAAACATCACCAAAAACTATTGTAAAATAGCGTATCACAATTCAGAACAGATTCTTACACTGAACGACTGTAGAACAAAATTAAAAAATAGTATTTGACTATTACTGCTTACAGGATGAAAATGTGGTAATGCAGCAACATTAAATACTTAGTAGCCTCTGTAAGGCAAAGTCTACAAAATCCCTTTGCAGGTATGAAAAAGCCACTGGCCCTATGGTGCAGTTTCACAGTGTTTCAGAAGCTGAAGTCCTTTCCTAATTATTTCTGTAGGGAATCTGTACTGAGCAGCAGGCGCTAGAAAGATGAGAACCCCAGTCAGAAGCTTAAAGCCGCTATTTTCATAGGGCAAAAGATTTTATCCAAATATTTAATTCACATTTCAGTAGAAGTTTCCTGAATATCTACAGACAGAACCGGGCTACGGTTGCATGAACACCTTGAATTTGTCATAAACCAAAACTGCTGTTGAAAGAAACAGCCTCACACCTTCACCATCGCTCAGTCCCACTCCTTTCCTCTGCATGGCCACACACAGAACCAGCCTGGTTTTCTGCATGCTGCTCACAACTACTGCCCCCAAAAAATAAAATAAAAACAAAGCAGCTAGCCAGATCAGATTCTGGTTGTGGTTCACCATGTGACTCCACAAACATATGGGGTGAGAGATAGAGCAGCCAACCGACGGAGGTGACACTCCTGCTCTCAGACCAGCACCAATCTAAAGTCCTCGTCAAATTGCAGCCCAACCTATCCATGCACCCTGTTGACCTGCTATTCCACTGGGTCTCTTCATGTTACAAAGCTGCACTTCTGTTTTCCCTGTCAAACAAATGAAGCCTTAAGCATGACAATTTTTCTTTAATATTTGTAAAAATCAAACAAACAAAATGAAGTCATTGTAGAATTCCTTCTGTATGGGCTATAACCCCTAAATTTAACAACATTTTTCTTTGGTTTCTTTGGCTTTGCTCCTAGTCACAAAAGTGTCTATTAGTGTCTCTGTACACCTTATGTTAGCAAGTTTAGCAGGTAAAAGGAGCTTACAAACAAAACTGTGAGCTTGACCTAAAAACCATTTTTAAACTGTAAACCTAAATTGAGCTGCAAGTATCCCTAACACCTGGGTGAAATTTTCAAAACCAGTCTTGCGCAAAAAAAAAAAAAAAAAATTGTGCTCCTAAATCATGCAAGAAACATTTGAAAAACCTAATTTCTTTCTATTTGCTCCAAATACTGAAATTATATTTATTTTTAAACGCTGCAATTTCAGCATCCATACATTCAAATTTGGGTGCCTCTCCCGTATCATGTGACAGATTAAGTATGAGCCCTGCTCCTCTCCGTTTGCAGATAGCATTAGTTCTGTAAATGAGATACTCCCTCCTCTGTAACATATTTTTAGTGTCTCCCCAATGGTGGGTTTACAGCTTCATAGGAAATCACTTATTACAAGCAGTAACTCATGACACCTGAACCCAGCTATAGGAATGTAAGGACAGTAATTCATCTGTATGACAGTATCCAAAACAGAAACAACGGTAAATGACTGGAATTAAAGCATACCACAAACGCCAAATGGCCTCTATCGACCCCCCTTCAAGTCTTTTGTTCTCCGAAATCAGTAAGAAAAATCCCCAAGCTAGGACCTCCCAGACCAGAGTAGAGCTGCTCATGAAGCACTTTTCCTCGCTCTGCCTCCACTCCATTTGGAGAACTACCAAATCAGCCTCAGCTTAACGACACATGTATCTGGTTTCATTGTAAATTCCTCAAGGGAAATGCAGTGTTATAAGTCACTGAAAAACTGATCTGTAATTTTCAGCCCAAGAAAGTACATAATGAAATTGATTTACATTCTCCAATTGATCAGGAACAGGTATTTGCATTTCTTTTTTAAGTAGAAGAAAAGATTAAAAGCATTACTAGAAGCAGCTTCCTGGCTTTAACTTACACACAAGATATTCACAGCAGATTAAAAAAGCCCAGAAAAACAAAAACCCCAAACAGTGCTCAGGAACAGCCCTGCCAAACAGTATCTTGCCTCATGGAAACCATTTTAAGCTTTATTTTACACTATAATCTCATGCATTTAATGCAAGTATTCCAGGCTTATTCTAAAGCAAGAACAGCTGCCTACATTTGGTAAGCACGAACTGTCACTTGGCACGTCTAAAAATAGTACTGCTAGCACCCGTGCCTTACATGCAGAACTCATCCAATTACATTTTGCTTTTAAAGCAAGTGCCGTGATAGAATTATCACTGTATTTTTTAAGTCTTTTCTTTCACAGACATTTAACTTAAAACTGAACAATTCATACTGTTTTTTGATGACAAAAACAAGTGGTTTAATATATTTAACCTGATAATCCTCTTTAAAAAAAAAACAACAACCAACGCTGAACTAAGTAACCCTCTCTTTTTTGAGAAAGAGAAATTAAAAGCCTCGAGATCTACAAGCGAGCTTAATTCACATTTGCTGAAGAAAACCAAGAAAAAGGGACTAACCCATTTTGGCATCCATCTTGCGTGTGCCTGCATGCACCCAGATCTTGCACAGCTGACTACCCACAGCCCTTTCACTTCCTGCGAGGGCATTCGGAGGTCGGCGGATCGACGCAACTGCCTGCCGCCTCGCCGCCAGCCGAAACGAAATCCCGCCGGCCCCCGCCAATGGCTGCCTCTGCGCTAAGTCCTTGGAATGCAGCTGCCGAGCGAGAGGGTCGCGCTCACAATGAACAACTACTCTCTATCCAGTGTTTGGAAACAAACAAAAAAAGGGTTTCAGCGCCAAAGAAAGGCTGCTTGTGTAAACGGAGAAGACGATTAAAAAAAAAAAAAAGCAAACAGTGTACAATTTACAAACATTGTATGAACAACAGCCATTACACTAGAACCTTTCTGTAATCTGCAAGGTAAGCAGCGATTCTCTATATTCTTCAAATAATAGTAAAAATAGTGTAGAAGCACAAGTAAGAGCCTTTTCTGGATCAATATAAGAACAGCCAGTGTTGTACTAATACAGAAATGTAGTAGAAGTGTTGAGAATGGGCAGCTTTCAAATGCATCTAAAGCGCACAGCGACCACTGTCACCATCACACGCACCATACAGGCTGCTATGAAGAAAATTAACTCCAACAAAAACCAGTACACGACTAAACAGAAAAATTGCTGTTAATTTCTATTCAGAGAGGCATTTTCCAGTTCTGCTAAATAAAGTTCATATATACACGTGACAGCGATCTTCAGGGCTTCCACTGATCTTTCTCGCAGAGTATCGAGCAGGCAGGGCCTGACCCTGCAGTTCCACTTTCAAAGCCCGCTTGAGCCTGGTGTGGGGCAGCCCCAGCTGGAGAAAGACCAACCCCAAGGAGAAGCCACCAACCCATCAAGTGGTCAAAGCCTGCCAAGCACAAACACCATTAGTAGGCTGGGGTTTGACATTTTCAAGATTCCCTACAGCAGAATGACCAATTAAAATCATGGTTGACATCCTAAGCAGGAGCAGGTACAGACCAGACCACAAAATTCAAGCCTCCTTTTACCCTGATCAGACAAGTTGGAAGCCAGTTTGGTCCTTGACTGCCTTGTTGCAAGTCAGTAACAACAAAACAATCCCAGGCCGGTGAAACTGGGTGGTTAAAGCATGACTGCATGTGGTGCCAAGCACGTGGAGCTGACTTCAACCAACAGAGCTTTCCCTGTCTGAGGGACCAACGTTACAAAGAAGTGGCATGTCCAGCCGAATTGACAGGCTTGTCTAACTGGATCCCAAAGGTCAGAAAACAAGTCTGCATCACACACGTTTCAGACTTGGCACATCTGCCCCACAACCCCTAGCAAGAAAAAGCAATACAGATTTCACGGTACATGCTAAAACGAAAACAAAGTCCAACACTACCCGGATTGTCCCCAAAACCTGCAAATACTATCTT